GTTTTACACATGCCAATTCTGTTTATGCTGTGTAACCAAGACATATTGAAGTTTGCTATAAACCTCTTACTAGTTTACTTCAATCCCTGTGTAAATTCACTTTCTGGCGGTGATTTATTTCAGCTAAGAGTATACTGTGGTGCAGGGGCAGACTGACAACTCAAGGGGCCCCCGGGCAATAGGGGATCATGGGGCCCCTGTGTCCTTGCCAAACTCAAAAAAGCCTATGAAAAAGGTACCAGGGGCATCTCATGGGGCCCCCTACTGACCCCGGGCCCTCGGGCAGTGCCCGAGTTTCCAAATGGTCAGTCTGCCCCTGCTGTGGTGTCAGCAGGGGTTGGTCTTTCAGAGAGGGGTCCAGATCCACAGGAAACCTGAAAACAATTCAGTAACTCCTAAGGGGGTAGTGCTACACTTGCCTATGATTTTAATTATGTGCCCTCTTTTTTTGGGATTTCTATATGTACTGACCACTTGTATCCAGTGAAAATTGCCCAGTAAAGCTTTATAAAATATAAAATTGACACAACCAAAAATGATTGAACCCAGATGCTCAGATCACATTTAGCAGCATCAGTATAGGCCTAGACAGAACTTACTAATTTATCCACCTAAATACAATATTCTAACAAATACCCTGCTCGAATTTATTATTAAAGACTGACAAATGGACTCAATTAGAAACTTTTTGTTACTATTGTGACAGGACAAGATCTTGTCACTGTGAGAAGATAGGCAAATGTGACACAGGATTCTCATTTAGAGTGAATGCGACGTTCCAGACAAGTGTTTCTGGGCAGAGAAAGCTGGGAAAATGTGGTCCCTGTCCCCTGGGGAGATGGGGTCCCTGTCCCTAGGCAAGATGGTGTCCCTGTTCCCAGAAGAGATGGGGTCCCTGTCCCCAAGGGAAATGGGTTCCCTGTCCCCTGAAAAGATGTGGTCCTTGTCCCTAGGTAAGATGGGGTCCTTGTCCCTAGGCAAGATGGGGTCCCTGTTCATAGGGAATATGTGGTTCCTGTCCCCAGGGGTGATGTGGTCCCTGTCCCTAGGTAAGATGGGGTCTCTGTTCCTTGGTAAGATGGGGTCCCTGTCCACAGGGGAGATGGAGTTCCTGTCCACAGTTGAGATGGAGTTCCTGTCCCTAGGGGAGATGGAGTGGAGTAATGGATGGTGTATGGGGGAGATGGGGTTGTCTCACTCACTGTGACTGAGGTGAGACTGAATAGTGGCTGCCTAATGCTGGTCCTGGACCTGAGTGGAGTACCTATCAGGACACCCTGCTTGTTAGGACATGTGGGCCTGGTGTCACCCCTCTAGCAGATGACACCTGGGTGCAGTGTGAACCCGCCGCACCTCCTTAGTGACACCACTGAGGGAGAGGATGAGTGAAGTTCCACTTTAACTAATTTTTTTTTTAAACGCTGAACTGTCTTCTTTCTCTTTGCATTGTTAGCGATTAGAGAACGGCCACCAGCTGCAGATTGCTAGGTTTGTTTACAAACCTCATGTGATCACATTAACCATGCAAATTGGTTCCAGATCATTAGTAGAGACTGGGAAGTGCCAGGGCTCCTTCACACCATGGTGCAGACATCTCAGTTTTTTTACAGGTGTTCTGCAAAGGCACAACAAAATCAATTGTTCTCTATGTGCCCTGTTCACACCACAACACTTATCACATGCAGATTTTTTCTGCACAGGAATCTGTAATGTGTATAAAACTCATTGAAAATGGCATGAAAACTGATGTAAACTGATGTCTCTGCAATTGAAATCTGCGTGTCAGCTTCCATCAGTCTCTCTGCACGTATGGTGTGGACAAGACCTTAGGGATAGTTCAGTCCAACAGCTAGGATCTGTGTGCGGCTAGCATGTAGTTGGTAATAATATAAATTAACATTTTCCCAACAGGCATGCGAAGTCTGGGTTCACACTAATGTGGTATGGGATGCCACATGTAAATCGCACAGGAATCGCACCGCATTCCTGTGCCTATTACATGAAATGTCTGTGCATTGCGATTTGAGCCATACATTTTGCATGGCTCTAAACGCATAGCATCTGCACCAAAAATATGCAGGGCCCTTTTTTTTACCCTTTTTTGAATCGCATCGCATAGGTGTTCTCACCCATGCCATGTGATTTCTGGCAAGCGCATTTTGCGATCTGTTTCAGGGTGTCATTAATTTAGCATTGACACAAACGCCGTGCGATTGTAATGTGGTGCAGGAAACACACAGGATTTGCAGCGTTTCCCGCATCGCATTAGTATGAACCCAGTCTAAGAAATGTTAAACCTGATGCTTCGTGAACAAAAATTTTATTCAAATGAATTTCTTAAAGTGATTCTAAAGGCTCATTCTATGCATGGAGGTAAAAAACCTTCTATGTGCAGCATCTCCCCACCAGCCCCCCTAATACTCACCTAAGCCCCCTTTCGATCCAGCAATGTGCACTGGAGCATCTGCTATCCCAGGACTCCCTCTCCTCATTGGCTGAGACAGAAGCGGGAGCCAGTGAGCCAATGGCTCCATGTGTGAATGGACACACAGAGCAGCAGGTGCCCCCATAGCAAGGTGTTTGCTGTGGGGGCACCCAAAAGGAGGGAAGTGGCAGAAGTGCCCACAGGGGATGCAAGAAGAGAAGGATTCGGGCTGCTCTGTGCAAAACCACTACACACAGCAGGTATAATATGTTTGTTATAAAAAAAAAGCCTTTAGAATCACTTTAAGGGCTCGTATACACTTGCTTCAAAACGTGGTATTGGACACTCTTTTTTAAAGCATTCTGAATGCCAATCAAAGCACCTGTCACTAAATAAAATTATAAGCTTATAGTCCTGTTTGCACGTTGCATTTGTTTTAATTGGCTTCAAAAATGATACCCCATGTCCCTTTCTTGGTGCTTCAAAGCATCTCTAAAGCCTCTGTAGAAGGCTATGACAAAGCTCCCTAACAGTACCTGCAGCTTTTGAGAGGCTTTTATTCCACTTAAGATTCGCTTTGTTTTGGAGGTATTGCAGGTATGAGATATCCCAGGATGCACTGGGAAACCAACAAGCAAACCAGAAAGACATCATCAGCAGCCACTTCCAGTTCATGTTTATATATTCTGGAAGACATCACATCTGGTGTGTAGCGAGGAGCAGCAGGAAAGCGAGCGGGGTCCGGATTGAAGCAGAACAACTAGTACACATGGTGTACAAAATGGGACCGCTATATCAGGAGGTGAGTGGGGACTGAGAGAGAAGACTGAGTGGCAGGGAATCAGCAGAGATGGGGGACCGGAGCAGGAGAAACTAGCAATGTCACATGTGCTGCACAACATGGGAGGAATATAACATGGACCAGAAAGTGAGGAGGATCAGCAAACCAGAAGATCAACAGAGCGGGGGGTTACAACTGAGTTGGGGATCAGCAGAGCTGGGGGTTACAACTGAGTGGGGGATCAGCAGAGCTGGGGGTCACAACTGAGTGGGGGATCAGCAGAGCTGGGGGTTACTACTGAGTGGGAGATCAGCAGAGCTGGGGGTTATAACTGAGTGGGGGATCAGCAGAGCTGGGGGTTATAACTGAGTGGGGGATCAACAGAGCTGGAGATTACAACTGAGTGGGGGATCAACAGAGTGGGGGGTTACAACTGAGTGGGGGATCAGCAGAGCTGGGGGATTAATACTGAGCAGGGGATCAGCAAAGCTGGGGATTGTACTGAGTGGGGTATTAGCAAAGCTGGGGGACTACTGAGCAGGGGATCTGCTTAATGAAGGTACTAATGAGCAGGGGATCTGCTGAGTGGGGTTCTGCTGAGCTGGAGTTCTACTGGGCCCCTTTAACCAGTTGGAGAGCACCTCCTGTAGCTTTACTGCTACAGGGTGGCCACCCTGTGCACAATTGTGTATATATACGTGATCTGTGCTCCCACCATGTTCCAGGGCTGGGGGCACCCCCTGGCCCGGCATTGCTGTGATAACTGATCAGTCATCAGATCCAGGCCAATGATTTGTGACCTGGACCTGCTGATCGGTTGTATCGAATCAGAGATCATCCTGTGCCTGTGTTTACAGAAGACAAGCACAGGAAATGATGCAATCTTCTCTCCTGGAGCCCTTTTCGATTCCGGTGAGAGGAGAGAGCAGATGCACATTAGTAAAAGCAGCACACTGACACAGTAAAATCACAGATTGGAACATTTTAATCCCCTGATCACCCCCCAGTTAACCCTTTCACTGCCCTGTCACCAGTGTCATTAGTACAGTGCACAGATTTTTTTTACTGATCACTGTATTAGTGTCACGGACGACTTCAGATAGTGTTAGCGTCAGTTAGTGTCCCTAAATTCATCATTGTACGCCCCTTGAGGGTTAGGGACTGATGTGAATGTACAATATATATGTAAAGCACTGCGTAAATTGTCTATATAAAGTACCTATAATAAATGGTGTGGTCATTTTTATTTAAAACAATTTTACTTGTTTGCTAGTTTATTTGTTGGTGTGTTAGTTTATTTGTTCACTAATATCTCTGTCAAAATGTTATTTTACACATAAACGACTAAGCTAAGCTAAACTTTCTAGGTATTTTTTGTAATAATGCTCTTTTAGGAGGAGAAAACAAATCTCTGAGCCAGGGGCGGACTGACAACTCATAGGGCCCCTGGGCAATAGGGGATCATGGGGCCCCTGTGTCCTTGCCCAAACTCAAAAAAGCCTATGAAAAAGGTACCAGGGGCATCTCATGGGGCCCCCTACTAACCCCGGGCCCTCGGGCAGTGCCCAAGTTTCCAAATGGTCAGTCCGCCCCTGCTCTGAGCAGTCGGCCGTGCTAGTGATGTCACAGCGAGTGGAGACAAAAGTACAATGCACACACCACAGACATTGGCAAATAGGAATCACTGTAGGTACTAGAGTTCAGACTACAAGTTTCAGAGGGCTCTCCTCACCCATCATTCTGGAGGAAACATCAGCCTATCTATGGCAATCCAAAGTTAGACAATTCCTATAGGACAGATTCGTTTTCAATAGTTGGTTTATCTACTATCAGCTTCTGCTTGACGATCACCACCTGGTAGCTGTCAGTGCTAAATATTCATATAAAGTGTTACTAAACCCAGGACCCTGCATTCACTATATCTGGTCTCCCACAGTACACAGAACATGGAAATGCAATTATTTTAGTAAATATAAATTGCTAAATACCTTTTCTCATCAGCAGTTAGAGAAATCTTGTGACTTCTATCAGTGTACAGCAGAGCACTGGTTAAAGCTTGTAGGAAGAGTTTTCCTTCTCCTCTCACTGTCCTATGAGGCTGCATAACCCCTGACCCACTGTCTGGTTCGTGCTGATTGGCCCTGTGCTGATCACATGCACTCTCTGGGTGGCTAAACACTAACGTAAAAAATGCATATTAGCAAGCAAAAAACAGTCTTTTAATAAATATAAGGCCGAAGGGTCATCATCGGCATTCCAGAAATACAAAGAGTGCAATAATAAATGCAAGAATGCAATCAGGGCAGCTACAATAGATTGCAAAAGACACATTGCTGAGGAGAGTAAAAAAATACCACATTTTCTCCAAATATAATAATAATAAAAAGGTGAGGTCAAAACATATTGGCCCCATAGAAGATGATCAGGGGAAGTTGGTCACAAATGACAAGAAGAAGGCAACTGCAAAAAAAAGTGTAACTAAACATAGGACCCTGTATTCACTATATCTGGTCTCCCATGGTACAAAGAACATGGAAATGCAATTATTGTAGTAAATATAAACTGCTAAATACCTTTTCTCATTAGCAGTTAGAGCAGTCTTGTGACATCTATCAGTGTCCAGCAGAGCACTGGTTAAAGCTTGTAGGAAGAGCTTTCCTTCTCCTCTCACTATGATGCTGCATAACCACTGACCCTCTGTCTGGACAGTGCTGATTGGCCCTGTGCTGATCACATTCACTCTCCCAGAAAAAAAAAGAAACTCTCTAGCAATACACACCAAACTGAGCATGTGCAGCTTGCCTTCAAACTGTTCTAACAGTAGATCTAACAGTGAGTATAACAAGCATGCTTTACTGCATATACAGACTGATTTTACTTATCAGACTGGATTTAGTAACACTAAGCATTGTTTTAAATTTTTTCAATAAAAAAAGAATTAAAAATAACATTTAAATGTAATTTTTTTTATTTATGAACAAAGTTTGTAGAAAAAAATGGTCTATAATACCTTTAAAATAACTTCTTAAAACCATTAGCAGAGTACCTTCTACTAGGTAACTAGTAATACAATAATGTCTCAGAAGACTGGGGTGCACTAAACCATTCAAACCTTCTCAGATCAGAAATATATACACATATACATATATATATATATATACACATATATACATACATATATATATACATACATACAACTGAAAATGTTGGAAAATGTGTTGGGGTCATTTGTTCATGAAAGCTGAATGACGAGGAGTCTTTGTATTTAGACATTTGGGGTAGTTCATATTATTTTTAAAAAGTAGTAATCATTTTGTTTAACTCATAAAGTATTCCATTACAATTGGTCTTTACAAAGCCTTTTTTTTAACATTTACCTCCCATAAGAACTAATCCCTACCATGAAAGGACTAGTTTGGTTATTTTTGAACCAGTCCTCCCCTTCAGACCCCTGCTTTTGTCTGACATTTGTCATTCAATGAACAGATGCATATAGAAAAGAAAGTCATTGGTGTCATTTCAAATGACTGGTATATTTACGGCCAGCATTTCATGAAAGCAAACAACCTGTGATCAGTTAAACCTTAAGCCCAGCTTCACATATATGTAGTGCGGCACATCGCATGTGATTTGCAAAGGAACTGCACCGCATTCCTGTGCAAATCACATGTGATTTCTGTGCGGTTCCGTTTAAGCCATACATTTTGTATGTCTCAAATCGCACTGCATCCGTGCCAAAAAAGTGCAGGAGCCTTTTTTTTGTCCGCACCAGAATCAGATCGCATGGGTATTTGCGAACTGCGTTTTGCGAACTGATTACAGGGTGTCGTTAACTTAAAATACACACTTGCAGCAGTTTGGGTGCGATTATGATACGGTGCGGAAATCGCACAGAAACCGATGCGAATTCCGCACCGCATCTGTGCGAACCCGAGCTGAGACACAAAATGCTGATTAGCTTGTCAATTGTGTTGGTTAGCTAAACAGAAAATCTTTAAAATAACTTCATCTTATATAAAGTCTTTTTAAAATGTTACATATTAAAAGTAAAAAAAATCAGCGTTTTTTTTTTTCTGCCATGAAATTACTTTGTGAAGCCACCAGAGGGTGATAGATAGTTGTCTTGAAACAGATGAATGGCTTAAAGCATTTCCTATGTATGGGTTAGTAGTTCACACTTCACTACATTTCTAACTCTTACCAAATGCTCCTATAGCTGTAAGCCGGCCATACCCGGTTCGAATTCCAAAAATAATTTTCTTTCGAAAATGTTTTCTAAGGATTTTCTTTTAAATTTCACACCATTAGTGGGTCTGGGTCACAGAAACAGCTGATTTTCGAATTTGAGTGATCGGGCATGTTGGAAATTTTTTGAGAAATGAACGAATTTTGAATCAATGATGGTAGAATCGTGCAAGCAATATAAAGCTGTGACCTGGAAGAAAAGAAAATTCTTGGCCACGAAAATTCTTTTCTGTTGCAACATGAGGAGAAATTGAAGGCTTGGTTGGTTGAATTTTGAAATCAAGGAAAGAAGGCCACCTGGTGGCTGTCAGCACTAAATATTCATTTAAAGTGTTACTAAACCCCGAACCCTGCATTCACTATATCTGGTCTCCCCCGGACCCTGCATTCACTATATCTGGTCTCCCCCGGACCCTGCATTCACTATATCTGATCTCCCACAGTACACAGAACATGGAAGTGTAATTATTTTAGTAAATATAAACTGCTAAATACCTTTTCTCATCAGCAGTATATACCAGTCTTGTGACTTCTATCAGTGTCTAGCCGAGTACATGTTAAAGTTTGTAGGAGGAGTTTTGCTTCTGCTCTAGAGTGATACAGAACCCCTGACCTCTGTCTGGACAGTGCTGATTGGCCCTGTGCTGATCACATGCACTCTTCCAAGGAAAAAAAAAAAAACCTCTCTAGCAATACACACCAAACTGAGCATGTGCAGAATGACTCCACACCATATGTCTTATCAAGAGATAAGAAGGAGGTACTGGAAGAAAAGGAGGATGTGGTCCCAAAACTGAAAGTATAAGGTTTTAAATCTAAATTTTAGAGGCAGCTATCTATAAACCAGGGTGTCCTTGGGAGTCCCTGGAGTAGACTAAAAACTGTGGAGAGAAAAAATAAAATAAAGACATATGTAAGTATTTGAAATATTTTAGTGCACAACAGCAGGGTTTTATATAAAGCTAGGTTCACACCTATGTCGGTTGCGTTTGAGCCGTTTCTGCATTGCGTTTTGAGTTTTTGCACACATTTTTTATGCTTTTTGGGTTTTCTTTTTTCATTTTTTAAATTTATCTTGTTGCTAGGCAGATTTAAAATGCAAAAACGCAGCAAAAATGCGCTACATGCTTTTCTGCATTTCCATTGAAGTCTATGGAACCAAAAATGCAACATTTGCATTAAAAAAAGTCCTGACCCTTTCCAAAAAAATGTCCCGGGTGAAAACGCAGAGATGTGAACATGTCCCATAGCAAATCCTGTTAAATTGGACTGTACTGCGTTTCTGCAAAAGGCTGCAGAAAATGCTTGGGTGTGATCCGAGGGTAATGTTTGATTTTTGATACTGAACCTTAGGTGTGTGCAGGGTGTCTATATTTGTGCTCCCGGTAGCAGTGCAATATTCATTTGCTTAACCCAGGGTGTCAGTGGGGCTGAGACTGTTTTCAGAGTTGAGGCAAAAGAATAGAGAACCCAATCTACCATGCAGCTCCTGCAGGGGTTGTGTTGCCTGTAAAAGATACCTATTACAGCCATGGTTTTCACATGTGGTTGTAGTGAACAGTAAGTCAATAATATCACAGGTAGGTAGTCTGTCTTTGCTGTTGTATGTGTCCCTGTCTTAAAGTCAGGTCATCACACGGTGTGGTGACCTTGTTTAAACCAGTGCCATGCTGTGAGCAGTAGTCTGCCTCACGTAGGGGAGAAATACTGAGCACTGACAGTTCTCAGTTGTATTTGTCTGGATTCAATAATTCTGTCATCGTGAGCAGCTATGTTATCTTCACCTATCAGTATAGATCAGTGGTCTCCAAACTATGGCCCAGGGACCAGATGTGGCCTTTTGCTAGCTTTTATCCGGTCCTTCGGGCATTATTCGCCCCACTGTCAGCAACAATGAGGCATAGTTCCTGCCACTGACACCAATAATGGGGCACTGTTCCTTCCACTGACACCAATGATAGCGTACTATTCCTCCCACTGGCACCAATGATGGGGCACTACTACTCCTACTGACACTAACAATTGGGCACTATTCCTCTAACTGACACCAATGATGGGGCACTATTCCTCCCACTGACACCAAGGATGGTGCACTATTCCTCTCATTTACATCAATGATGGGACACTATTCTTCCCACTGACACCAATGATAGCATACTATTCCTCCCACTGGCACCAATGATGGGGCACTACTACTTTTACTGACACTAACAATGGGGCACTATTCCTCTAACTGACACCAATGATGGGGCACTATTCCTCCCACTGAAACCAATGATAGCGCACTATTCCTCCCACTGACACCAAGGATGGTGCACTATTCCTCTCATTTACATCAATGATGGGACACTATTCTTCCCACTGACACCAATGATGGGGCACTATTCCTCCCACTGAAACCAATGATAGCACACAATTCCTCCCACTGACACCAATGATGGGGCGCCATTCCTCCATCTGACACTATCGATGGGGCACTATTCCTCCCATTGACAACAATGATGGGACACTATTCCTCCCATTGACAACAATGATGGGGCCCATTGCCTCTCATTGACACCAATGATTGTACACTATCTCTCCCACTGATACCAACAATGGGGCACTATTACTTCCCCTAATACCAGTCATGGAGCATTGTTTACTTCCACTGGCCACAGTGCGGCACCCCTAAAGTGTGAGGGTCAGAAACTGGTCCTTTGTTTAGAAAGTTTGGAGACCCCTGGTATAGATGATCCATCTGTATTTTTCTGATGTAATTAGCTAGGTGCATATTCCCTGCTTATCATATGAATTTTTATTATTGTAATAAGTATTGCATACTTAACACTGTATGAATAAAAAAATGTATTACAATATCTTTGTAATCATAGCTCACTATCTTTGTATTAGTGCAAACAACTAGCGTCAAATATCTGGGTTGTAACTGAAAATCTTAATTTGTGGAACTCAAGCAAATCCCTGGGGAGGTGTGCCTAGAAGGTGGAGGGAGAGCCCATAAGTAGTCTGAGGCCTGAGCAGCAGGAGAGAGTTCCTGCGTCCAGTCCTGCAGAAGGAGACCCCTGGTGCAGAAGTTTGGGAGGAAGCCAGCCTGAAGACACCTAAATCCAATTTAGGCTTAGCTTGGGGTCCTATTTACAAGTCCTAGCTAGGAGAAAGCTCACAGGAGAGAGCCGAGAGGAAGCTGTGGGAGAGAGCCAAGAGGAAGCTGTGGGAGAGAGCCAAGAGGAAGCTGAGGGAGAGAGCTCAAATCGTCCAGAGGCGGTATGAGTCTAAATCTCCCCAACTAGGAAGAGCATGGTGGATATCTGCAAGAGGCAACTGATGATCCTGTGGCTAAGTGAGTACTAAAGCCCAATACTGCAGAGTGTTACTGTATGGTGCTTTGAAACTCTGGAAGGATTACAGGTCACAGTCAACGTACAGATCCAGTGGGGCATTTCTTTTGCAATTGCAGTACAGCCAGGAGTTCTGCAGGGCAGCCAGAGCTTGTGCAACACAGCCAGAATGTTTGGGCATAACAACCAGACATTAAGCAGTCCTCAAGTTCTATAGTTTTGTAGTTCTGGGAAATCCAATGCTCCCCATCTCTTTCTAAGTTCATTGTACTCCAATAAAAAAAAACTCAAAAAAGAAACCCCTAGACTGATTCGTAAGCTATTGGAAGAATACAGAAAATGCTGTGTGCCTGGCTGTGTGTGCTCTAAGGGGGAGAAATGGGACCAAACTTTTCAGCTGCACTACAGTAAAATGTATTGAAATCAATATTTGAAATGCCAATAAAATACATAATGAGTTAAATCCAGGCCTTGTAGCATTAGACTCCTATGTTCCATCACCACCAAGGATCTATCTGAGTGGAGTTTGTATATTATCCCTGTGTGTCTGCTGTGGGCTTCTTGCACATACACCAGTTCACTTCTACTACTGATAAGGTAGTTGTCATGTGACTAAATTGCTTGGAATTCTACATCCATTTCTTGCCAGATAAACCCATTAAATACCCATAGAAGGAGAACTCTCCAAAGACATTGTCAACTCCAGGGCTGGGTTCTAAATACACTGAAGGACCAGACAAGTCAAATGATGCAGCTTTATTTCCTACAATGGTATACACTGTATGTACGTATATTAGGTATATTTAGACTTTACTAGACATCGTGTTTTAGTTTAACCACTTGCCTACCGGGCACTTTTACCCCCTTCCTGCTCAGGCCAATTTTCAACTTTCAGCACTGCCGCACGTTGAATGACAATTGTGCGGTCATGCAACACTGTATCCAAATGAAATATCTTTTTTTAGACATATAGAGCTTTCTTTTGGTGGTGTTTAATTACCACTGGGTTTTTTATTTTTTGCTAAACAAACTAAAAAGACTGAAAAAAAAAAATATTTTCTAAGTTTCTGTTATGAAGTTTTGTAAATAAGTAAATTTTCTCCTTCACTGATGTGCGCTAATGAGGCTGCAGGGATGGGCATTGACATGCATCACTGGCGGACATTGACAGGTATCACTGATGGGCGCAGATAGGTGGCACTGACTGGCTCTGATAGGCGGCACTGATTGGAACTGTTAGGCGGTACTGACAGGCACTGATAGACAGCACTGAGTGGCACTGATAGGGGGCACTGAGTGGCGGCACTGATAGGCAGAACGGACTGGCACTGATAGTTGGCACTGAAAGGCAGCTCTGATGGGCACCAATATGTGGCATTAATGTGCACTGGTAAGCACTGATATGTGGCATTGATGTGCACTGGTAGGCACTGATATGTGGCATTAATGTGCACTGGTAGGCACTGATATGTGGCATTGATGTGCACTGGTAGGCACTGATATGTGGCATTAATGTGCACTGGTTGGTACTGATATGTGGTATTAATGTGCACTGGTAGGCACTGATATGTGGCATTAATGTGCACTGGTAGGCACTGATATGTGGCATTGATGTGCACTGATGGGCACTGGTATGTGGCATTGACAGGTGGCACTGATGGGGCTACACTGATCATCAGTGTAGATGTCCCCTCAGAGGAATGCCGCTTACATGTTCTCCTCTCCTCACGTGCTGTCAGGGTGAGGGCTGCAGATAACAGGCATTTCGTGTTTACATGCGATCAACTGTGATTGGACACCTAGCGGACATGTACATGTGTGTGCACAGATGTGTCAGATTCTAAAGACCTGCAGTACATCTGAACATCAGCAGAATCTAGCAGCGCACTTTGTGGACATCCCAGGAGGCAGCAGGGGCCCAAGCTCATTCTGTCCAAGGCCAGAAAGGAAAAAAGAATGTGGTGCAGCACAAAAAAGGTAATAAACGTGTTCTGTATGCACATCATTGTGTTGAGTAGTGAGCCATCTATTGGGCATTCACTGCAATTGCACTCTTTTGTCAATAAAGAACAGGGTGTGTCTCATTCTTGTTGAAAATAAAGATTTCCCGTCTACCTCTGCACTTCCACTTTAACTTCCAGAAGGACACACCAGTGAAGGCTTCCTTTCTCCCTTTGATACACATATGCCTGTATGTTCTTACATTGTGTTTGTCAAAGTTACAGTATATATGCATCTAGATCGCATTTCAATATATTTAATGTGATTTGTAGGTAGCTGTTTGTAAGAAATGTGTTCATTGTATCAGGGGTGGACTGACAACTCATGGGGCCCCCGAGCAATAGGGGATCATGGGGCCCCTGTGTTCTTGCCCAAACTCAAAAAAGCCTATGAAAAAGGTACCAGGGGCATCTCAAGGGGGCCCCCTACTGACCCCGGGCCCTATGGCTTTGCCTGAGTTTCCAAATAGTCAGTCCGCCCCTGCATTCTACGCATTTGTGAGAGACATGTTTACAAGCATATTGTAACTTCAGTTTATGTGATTGTATTGCAGTTTTACAGAACTATTTACAGAAGTAAATTCAGTTTTGGAATTAAACACAATGCTTCTGTCAGTTTTGTAAGCTAGCTGTAGGGCACCTTTTATTAAAAAAGAGAACAACACCTCAATAAGAGTGAGGGGGAGAAAAGCAACAAAGCTGTTTATAGGTAAAGTTCTACTTTAAGACCTCATTCACACAGACATACAGTCATGGCCGAAATTGTTGGCACCCTTGATATTTCTCCAGGAAATCATGTATTTCTCACGAAACGTATTGCATTAACACATGTTTTGCTATACACATGTTTATTCCCTTTGTGTGTATTGGGACAAAACAAAAAAAGGGAGGAAATAAAGCAAATTCGACATAATGTCACACAAACCTCCAAAAATGGGCTGGACAAAAGTATTGGCACCCTTTCACAACTGCGGATAAATAAGAATGTTACAAGCATGTGATGCTCCTGTAAACTCACCTGGGGCAAGTAACAGGTGTGGGCAATATAGAAATCACACCTGAAAGCAGATAAAAAGGAGAGACGTTCACTTAACCTTTGCATTGTGTGTCTGTCTGTGCCACACTAAGCATGGACAACAGAAAGAGGAGACGAGAACTGTCTGAGGACCTGAGAACCAAAATTGTGGCAAAATATCAACAATCTCAAGGTTACAAGTCCATCTCCAGAGAACTAGATTTGCCTTTGTCCACAGTGCGCAACATTATCAAGAAGTTTGCAACCCATGGCACTGTAGCTAATCTCCCTGGTCGTGGACGGATGAGGAAAATTGATGAAAGATTGCAACGCAGAATAGTCCGGATGGTGGATAAGCAGCCCCAAACATGTTCCAAAGACATTCAAGCTGTCCTGCAGGCTCAGGGAGCATCAGTGTCAGCGCGAACTATCCGTCGACATTTAAATGAAATGAAACGCTATGGCAGGAGACCCAGGAGGACCCCACTGCTGACACAGAGACATAAAAAAGCAAGACTACAGTTTGCCAAAATGTACTTGAGTAAGCCAAAAGCCTTCTGGGAAAACGTCTTGTGGACAGATGAGACCAAGATAGAGCTTTTCGGTAAAGCACATCATTCTACTGTTTACCGAAAACGGAATGAGGCCTACAAAGAACAAAACACAGTACCTACGGTAAAATATGGTGGAGGTTCAATGATGTTTTGGGGTTGTTTTGCTGCCTCTGGCACTGGGTGCCTTGACTGTGTGCAAGGCATCATGAAATCTGAGGATTACCAAAGGATTTTGGGTCGCACTGTAGGGCCCCGTGTCAGAAAGCTGGGTTTGCGTCCAAGATCCTGGGTCTTCCAGCAGGACAATGACCCCAAACATACGTCAAAAAGCACTCAGAAATGGATGGCAAAGAAGCGCTGGAGAGTTCTGAAGTGGCCAGCAATGAGCCCAGATCTAAATCCCATTGAACACCTGTGGAGAGATCTTAAAATTGCTGTTGGGAAAAGGTGTCCTTCCAATAAGAGAGACCTGGAGCTGTTTGCAAAGGAAGAGTGGTCCAAAATTCCGGGTGAGAGGTGTCAGAAGCTTATTGATGGTTATAGGAAGCGACTGATTTCAGTTATGTTTTCCAAAGGGTGTGCAACCAAATATTAAGTTAAGGGTGCCAATACTTTTGTCCAGCCCATTTTTGGGGTTTTGTGTGACATTATGTCATATTTGCTTTTCTGCCTCTGTTTTATATTTGTTCCAATACATACAAAGGGAATAAACATGTGTATAGCAAAACATGTGTTAATGCAATACCTTTTTTGTGTGAAATACTTGATTTTCAGGAAAAATATCAAGGGTGCCAACAATTTCGGCCATGACTGTATGTATATTTTCTGCACGGAAGGCAAGTTCTTTCTGGCTGAGATAGTAGGAGATCCTGCTTAAAATACGCATCTAAAGTATTCTCTTTTAGATGTATGCAGTGTTTAGATGTGTACAATTCTTCTTTCATTCAAATGAATAGATACTCATTTATGTGAGCATGTGTTTGTGTACGTTTAGGCATGTGCGCACATAAAATCTGAAAAATCTGTACAGCCCTGCACGCAGATGTGTCCTACTTTTTTCTGTACAGCTAAATGCAGTGCACATTTATGTATGTACACACAGCAGTGTATATGGGCTCATTGATTACTATAGTGTTGTGTTTAAATGTGTCCAAAACTGCTTTATGCAATTTAACGCAGTGTATTTCTGCCCATGTGACTGAGCACATATAAGACCCGCATTGTACAAATAATAACTCCTGCGCTGCCAACCTAAAAATAAATGTGTATATATATATATATATATTTTTTTTTTATCTGTACTCAAATTGGCACGCATAAGCTGCTGCAGACACTTTAAATCTGTTCCCACATCAAACCTATATAGACAACTTATAATAATAGTATTGTGCTGCTTGTAATGTGCTATTACATTACACAGTGATGCTATCAATATTTCACCATTAAAACACCTACAAACAGTGCTCTTATACAAATTACTTATTGACACAGTGATACATTGACATGCTGCAGTAAACGTCTTAGGTTTGAAGTCCTTCCGGCCCCTTTCACACGGTGTGTTCCATTTTTTTCATCAGTTCAGTAATGTTTTTTTCCAAGAAAAAAACGGATCAGTTCACATCGTTTTTTTTCATCAGCCTACATCAGTTTTTTATTGGTTTACATCAGTTTTCCATCAGTTCACATCAGTTTTTTTCATCAGTTTACATCAGTTTTTCATCAGTTTACATCTGTTTTTCATCAGTTTACATCTGTTTTTCATTGGTTTACATCAGTTTTCCATCAGTTCACATCAGTTTTCCATCAGTTCACATCTGTTTACGTCCATTTACATCCATTTTTTATCCGTTTACATCTGTTTTTTTTGTCCATGTACATCTGTTTACATCAGTTTTTTTTGGTCCATGTACATCCGTTTACATCTGTTTTTGTCCGTTTACATCTATTTTTCATCAGTTTACATCCGTTTTTGATCTTCTCGGTTTTTTTTTTAACGGAAGAAAATTAAGGGATTTCTTCCGTTGAAAAAAACGGATGTTAACGGATGCGAATATTAATGGAAGTAGACACATGATCATCCATTTACATCCGCTAGTCCATAGAACTACATGGGTGTCCGTTTTTCATCCGTAAACGGACAGATGAAAAGCGGACATACAGAACGCCGTGTGAAAGGGGCCTCCAAGACATTGGGATTACTAAAACTGGACCATTCAGAATGTGGTGCAGCTGTGTATGGTAGCCAATCAGCTTCTTATGCTGGTCATAGACGGTTAGAAAATCAGCCGATTTTTCGCACTGTTAGTGGGTTAATTGGTCGGCCGTTTTTCGGGTTTTTTGCAGTTTGATATTATCGGTCATGTTGGAAAATTTGCGGCCGATTTGGACGATCGGGCGATTTTCCCAGCAATGATGGCAAAATCAGCCGATTGTTTTAACGATAAAAAACGATAAAAAATCGGCGCATGAGCAGTGACCTGCAAGGGACAGAAATTATGGGGTGAACTTTATGATTTAGTCTGCCGATTGTTTTACTCGTTGGTGGTAACGTCAGCTGAACGAACGACCGATTTTTCGTTTATCGTTTGAAAAATCGGCCGATGTTCAACTCGTCTATGGCCTGCATTAGGCTGGCCACAGATTATATAATTTTCTTGAGAATTTTGCTTTAGATTTACCAAAAATCATATAATATGAGGTCAAACCTAAACAACACTTTCAGTTGTATCTAATTAGGCTGGCCCTTGCTCTACATAGTTGAAGGTAAATCTAAAGAGAATTGGGCAGAAATTGGACAGAAAATTGGAAGAAAATTGTATAGTGTATGGCCAGCCTAATGCAGACCATAGATGGGTCGAACATCAGCCGATTTTTCAAACGATAAACGAAAAATCGATCATTTGTTCGGCCGACGTTACCACCAACGAGTAAAAAAATCGGCTGACTAAATCATAAAGTTCACCCCATAACTTCTGTCCCTTGTTGAAGCCTGCAGTCCATCAGACTGACCTGTAGGTACAATCAGGGGTGGACTGACCATTTGGAAATTCGGGCACTGCCCGAGGGCCCGAGGTCAGTAGGGGGCCCCATGAGATGCCCCTGGTACCTTTTTCATAGGCTTTTTTGAGTTTGGGCAAGGACACAGGGGCCCCATGATCCCCTATTGCCCGGGGGCCCCATGAGTTGTCAGTCCGCCCCTGGGTACAATGAATATATCCTAAATGTGCACCATTTAGGAGATATTCACATCGGAAATAGCCGACTATGTCACTTGCACATGCGCAGTGACACTGCATTCAAG